GGCACCATCAGCTTTCTTCACCACATTTGCTTATTCACCCAAAATGCAAAATTTTAACCTAACCACGTCTGCAACAATTCACTTTCCAATGCATGCTGCATGATAGCAAGGATATTCACATCCCTGGTCCATGGTCAGAGGTGAGTCACCAGGGGCTTAATACATGTATTACTCCTTCTGGGGTGTTTGGGTTTGTTTTCAACGGAAAGCGCTTTAAAATGGATAAAAAGGGAGATCAAATGATAAGATTTTAACCTAAGTTTGCCATAATTGACTTTACCACACTGCCAAATATGAGGGCTATTCGCATTCCTCAATTATGATCACAGGAGATTCACCAGTGGCTTCATCCACGAGTGGACCCTGCAACTGATTTTGGGTTTCCACTGTCATCTATAAACCAAAAATCAAACTCACTGTCATTGAGTTGATACTGACTCACAGTGACCCTATAGGACAGGGTATGACTGCTCCTGTGTGCCAAGACTATAGCTGCTCCCAGGAGTAGAAAAGCCTCACTTTCTCCTGGTTAGATGGTTTCGAATTGCTGACCTTGCAGATTGCTGTCCAAGGTATAACCTCTATAATGCCAGGGCTCCGGCAGCCTTCTGCAAACAAGGTGTTCACAATTTAAGCTCTGATACCATCCACTCCTTCAGATTTAGGCTTTAGTAGTCAGCATCCTTGGATCACACAAGCTGGTTTGCTTCTTCCACGCAGACTCAGTTGATGCCTCACTTAGAGGGCTGCTTGTTTGAAGAAAAGCCTTTAAGACTTCAGACACTATTCCTTCTGATAGTTAGGGACCATCTAGTTTCTTCATCAAGCAGGGCCATGTCACAAGAACTGGGACTAGAATTAAGCATAGGTCCAAAATCATAGATTTTAAACTTCCCTCAAGTAAAACTCCCCTCTATTTCACAAGTTTAGAAGATAAAAGGCTTATTGTCTTACCCTACCTACAAAAGTAAGCCCTTAGTAACTACGCCTCTGTTCATGTAGTATCAATATAGAAGACCTGTATCAGCAGGGATATATGTGTCTACACACGGAGAGAGAAAAACATTAATATGAGGGGGCACCCAAAAAAACTAATTTTTTTCAAAGCAAAGCATTAATATTTTTTTTACAGAACTGTATCACCTTCAAAGTACTCTCCATTACACTTAATACATTTGTCACATCTGTTTACATCTGTTTGGATGGCTGACAGTACCTCCTTCATTTCGTTCTTTACCTCTTGTATGTTGTCCAATCATGGCCCTCTGCATTCGTGGAAACAAAAAGAAGTCTCATGAAGAGATGTCAGGTGAGTAAGGTGTGGGGGTAGAATGGAGAGAGGTGGGCAGAGAGGCATGTTGGTTTTGCCAAAAACTGGCACACTGAGATGGCTACCTGAGCAGGTACATTGTCACAGTGGCAAAACCTGTCCCGTATCTGCCACAAATCAAGCCTTTTTTTGTCAGACACTGTTACACAATCTTTTCAGAACCTCTAAACAGAAAGCTTGATTAACAGTCTGACATGGTGTAACAAATTCCAAATGCACTATCCCCCTGGCATCAAAAAAATAAATGAGCAATAACTTGATCTTTGATTTCACTTGACAAGCTTTTGGGGCGAGAGGTGATGATGGCACATTCCTCTGGCTTGATTGATGTTTGCTTTCAGGGTCGTAAGAATTAGAACCATGTCTCATCACCATTAATGACGTTGGAAAAGTCTGGGTCGCTTCAGAACTGTTATTTCAAAGACGCTCCTTTTTGCTGGTCAGTCACAGACCCACATGAACAAATGTCCCAGAGAGCCTTCTTATTCCCAAATCTTCCATTAAAATTTGCTGGACCAAGCTCTACGATAGTCTAGATAACTTCCCCATCTCTTCAATGGTCCATCATCAGGCTTTGAGCACAAATGCATAAATTTTGACCACATTTTTGATCTGTTTGGGAAATTGACAGATGTCTAGAATGAGGTTTGTCATCAATAGACATTTCACCTTTTTTTGAAACGAGAAAACCACTCGTACACTTCAGTTTTTCCCACTGAGCTGTCCTTGTAAATTGTGTTCAACATCACAATAGTTTCTGTGGCATTTTTCCCCAGTAGGAATCAAAATTTGCATGATGCATGCTGTTCTCTTCAAAATGGCCATCACACATCTCCTTAACGAAGGGTTGCGGGGAGGAGACGAGCCAGTCTGGGTGCAATGTAGCAACGATGAAGCACACAACTTTCCTCTAGTTTCTAAATGCTTCCTCCCTCCCCCACTATCATGATCCCAGTTCTACCTTACAAATCTGGCTAGACCAGAGGATGTACAATGGTACAGATAGGAACTGGAAACACAGGGAATCCAGGACAGATGATCCCTTCAGCACCAGTGCTGAGAGTGGTGATACGGGGAGGGTGGAAGGAGGATGGGTTGGAAAGGGGGAACCGATTACAATGATCTACATATAACCTCCTCCCTCGGGGATTGACAACAGCGAAGCGGGTGAAAGGAGACGTTGGACGGTCTAAGATATGACAAAACAATAATAATTTATAAATTATCAAGGGTTCGTGAGGGAGGAGGGAGGAGGGAGCAGGGAAGGAGAGGAAAAATGAGGAGCTAATACCAAGGGCTTAAGCAGAAAGCAAATGTTTTGAGAATGATGATGGCAACAAATGTACAAATGTGCTTGACACAATGGCTGTACAGTGAACCCTCGTTTATCGCGGTTAATCGGTTCTAGACCCTACCGTGATAAATAAAATTCCGCGAAGTAGGATTCCTTATTTGTAAATCAAATATTTTCGTAGTTAGAGCATAGAGGACATGAAAAAACATCCTTTAGTCACCATTACACTCGTATTACCCAATTTATTAAACGAAAAAGGGAAAATACAGTAAAACATTTTGGACGTTACAATTATCATTTATTATTTATTATAATATTTATGGCATCAAGCGTGTACAGTATGAGCCAATCAGTGGCAGTAATGACAGAGCGCTGTTATGTAATGCGCTGTTACGCAAAAACCGCGATAGAGTGAAGCCGCGGAAGTCGAAGTGCGAAGCGGCGAGGGTTCACTGTATTATGGATTGTGATAAGAGTTGTATGAGCCCCAACACACAGGATTTGTCTTGAGTCAAGAGTCTTGAAGGCTACTAATTGGTTAATATACTAACATGTTAAGAATGGCTGTGGGTTTGTTTAGAGCAGAGGTTCTCAACCTATGGGACGCGATCCCTTTGGGGGTCGAATGACCCTTTCACAGGGGTCACCCAATTCATAACAGTAGCAAAATTAGTTATGAAGTAGCAATGAAAATAATTTTGTGGTTGGGGGGCACCACAACATGAGGAACTATATTAAAGGGTCACAGCATTAGGAAGGTTGAGAACCACTGGTTTAGAGCAGGGGTACTCAATACAGCTATCAGGATCTACTAGTCTATCGCAAATGTAGTGTGGGTAGATCGCATGGCATTAAAAAAATAGACAAGCCTATCATCAATCCCGTCACTTAACTGATATACAGCGCAGCCAATCAGATGCAATCTTAGGTGTCAAACGCATGTGCAAAGAAATTCGCTAAGTGCAGCAAAACTGACAAGCTAAGTTATCGACAATTTCTAACCTTGGTTTTTTTCTCTTAAACGTTTAAGAGAGTGTATTAAAATGAGTGGGGGAGCTGGACCATGTAAGAAGACAAAAATGTATCACTTTCATATGGAATGGGAGATTTTGACACTACAAGCAGACATTCAGCTGTAGTCCAGAGCGCATGAAGTCCAGAGTAAGTTCTGGAACTTACTCGCAGAGGGAAAGTCCCCAAACATGAGACAATGTGCTACCTCCTTGATTGCATTATTCGGCTCTACTTATTTATGTGAGTCAACCTTTTCCCACATAAAGATCATTAAGTCCAAGTACCGTTCCACCATGACTGATGATCATTTGGAAGTGTGCTTGAGGCTGGCTGTCAGCAACTACTGTCCGGACTATGCAGCCCTGGTTCATTCCTCTTTGCGTAAGTCATCAGAGTAAACTCAGGTAATGACAAAAAATGTACACAGTTAATTGTGTTGTGTTGCACAATATGGACTCATGCGGTTATGCAAGGTACATAAACATACATTGTACATATAAAGAATTCTCAATGCATTTATGAATAAATGTAATAAATAAATACATGTTTTGCATTTTTCTTGTTGGTAGATCATTTTATAAGTAGCTCGCATGCTGAAAAAGTGTGAGCACCCCTGGTTTAGAGTATCTCTGTCTCCGGGCATTTTTTTAAACATATATTCAAATTTGGCAAAAAACGGGGGTGGGGGGAGAAACAAGTTGAGTCATGTTCATTTTAAGGAACTGTTTGGCTAAACAGTATATTTAACTGCCAGTTATTACTAAATTCATCCCCTTTTGATCAATGATTTTTATATCTTTTCTTGTAATGACCAAACAGAACAAAAAGTTAATGTTGCCAAAGTTATATTTGCATCATTGTGGAGTAACTATTTCCTGAACCTTTTAAAAATCATTCACTTCCTTATTTTTATTCTACAGCACAAGCCACTTGACCTCTAACATTGACACATCAATCAAAACTCAAAGCTTACAGAACTAAGAAGGTAACAAAGAAAACTCAGCAGTCACATTGTCGACTGTTTGTCCTTAACCTCAAATACAAAAATGAAAACCAAACCTAATCCCACTGGCATGTGCTAGATTCCAGCTCAGGGAAGGCTAAATAAGGTTTCCAAGATTGTCGATCTTTACAGGAGCAGACAGCTCCATCTTCCTCCACCAGAGTGGCTGGTGGGTTTTAACCCACTGAACTTGCAATTAGCAGACCAACACCTAACCCAAAGCTCCACCAGGCTCTTTAAAAATAAGCAAAAGAAAAATTAGGGCAACTTTTAACCAGTCATTTACATATATTCGAAGCAAGCTTAAGTTACCAAAGACTACAAATTGTTTTTCAGTGTAATTCTTCTTTCGAATTAACTTACTTTTTAAAACTAGATGATAGGAAAAATAACAGGGCAAGTGCATGCAGATGATACATAGACTAAATAAATATAGGAATCCCCTTTCAAAGTCGGCACATTCCCACCATTCAGTGATACTCCTTTGGTAGAAATGAATATTTCCTATTCTCCATATGTTTCCCTGTTTCATTATTCCAATGAAATCCTGAAACGAAAGCTATGAGTCACCAGATCTCATGGGATATTTCCTTTAGAACACACCCTACTGGCAATGTTCCCTTTCCTCCAACTTCTCCAGAAATCAGCGCCCAGTACACAAGCTCTCCCCCACCCCTTCCTGAAAGTCAGGCTTCGCCCACTGAACAAACACCTCGTTTCCCCCTCAAATCCCGGGGGTGCAGACCAAGTCTCCAACAGGCGGTTCAGTACAACCAATGAAATGTGAAGCCCAAAGACAGACTGGCGACTCGACCTCCATCGTCCCTGGAGACCTTCGTCCCCAAGAACAAAAAAGGGTCGGGAAGCAGGGGCCGACCCCGGCAGCTCCGCGCCGGCCAGCTTCCGCCCGCGGCACGGGAGGGCGTTCGGGAGGGGTCCCGGGACGTTCTCGCCGGGTGCCCGGCACCCCGCCCCCACTGCTGGAACAAGGAACCCCTCACCTCCCCAAAGCCGCTCACCTGGGTCGCAACGAGACGTTCCCAACCGTTGCCTCCGGGTCCGGGAATAGATTTTCAACACCCGAAGGCAGGAAAACCGCGAAGACCGGAGGAGCCGCCCACAAATGCGTCACGGCCGCCGCGCAAGCGCAGTGCCGCTGTCAGGTGACGCGTCCCCTCGGGAAAGGGGCGGAGGCGAGGCTGAGCGCGGGCGGGAGCAGACCCCGGCACCGCCCACGGCCCGCCCACGGCCCTGGTTCCGCTCACTCACCGGTTTCTCCGCGCTCGTGATCGTGACCGAGGGCTGCGAGCACCCCTCCGCTACTGTGTTTCTCCCCCTCTCTCGGTTCCCGTCGCCTGCAATGGGAGCGTCCGAGGAGCCCTGCCTCTCCGCGGCTCATCACTTTCTCCACCCTCAGCCTCAGAAGCGTTCCTTTCATATGGTGTCCAGTCTCCTACCTGGTTTCTTTGTTATTTTTTCCCTCTGAGCTCACCGTTGGCCTCTGAGGACGAGCTTGGTACTGCACCAGTAACTGAGTCCTCACACCGAAACAATGCTGGGTATATGCTCTGCACGGTTCCAAGAACTTGATGAGGGATGTTGTCTATTAGGTACATAAGAACATACCTATTTTAAGGAGGAGAAACTGAGGCACAGGTTACCTAGGCACAGCAAGTCACGCAGTTACCTGTGGGTGTACCCTTTTCCAACATGAGTATTTGACAAAATGGCTTTCACAAGCTACTCCTGCTATCGTGTCAATTAGAGCACAGTTCTCTGACACATACGAGCCAACTGGAGGGCAGTGGTTTACTGGTAAACAATTGCCAATGCAGGTCCGACTAACCGAAGAACCTAGTACATGGAGAAGTCCTATGTTATACCTGAAATACAAAACGAGCCGTTGACTGCGGGTGGTGATGTTAATTCTAATGCATGAGGATCCGTGTATATCAGACTTACGTAGAACTGTGCTATGTTCATAGGGTCTTCAATAGCTGTTTTTTTAAAAAATATTTAGCAAACCTTTCCTCTGAGGTGCCGCCACATAGATTTGAGTTTCCGACCTTCAGGTTAGCAGTGAACACATAACCATGTTTGCCACTTCGAAGATCCTTTCCAGATTTAAAAATATTACTTCTGTGCAGGAATAAAGATGAGAGTAAGGACCATAATATTTCAGAGTTGACAATGTCATATTTTCATGGGAACTAAAATAGGATTCTAATACTACCTTAATAAGCATTGTTTATTGTTGTATCAATCCGTTCAATCTATCAATTGGTAGCTACATAATTGGGTGTCAACTTTAAATGTAGGGGTGGAGTCTAGCCTGTCAGGTCACACAGCCTGATGGTACCTCCTGTGGCCTCCTCTCTCAGCCTAACAAAAGAACAATAATAAAAAGAATAACAAAGCAAAACAAATAAAATTTCCATTTAAAAGAAAGCAAAAAAATATAAAAAACTAGAACACATTTAAATGGATCATAAGGGAGATCAAATGATAGGGTGGCTAAATTTTATCTTAACTGTCTGTACAACAATACTCTTGACATCCTGAATGTTAGCAAGGCTATTCACATCCCTGGTCTGTGGTCAGAAGAGATTCAGCAGGGATTTAATCCATGTGTATTTCCCCTTCACCTTTTTTTTTAAACTGAAACAGCTTTAAACTCTGAAACATTTCCTCCTCTAGTCAAGGATCTTATTACAAACCCTGTAATTACACTTAGGTTTGTGTTTAAAGCATATTTTAACAAATTAGGAATTCCTACTGGCTTAAAGAAAATCACATTTTGTGGGGCAACCAAAAACTTAAAGATAAAATGACAGTGACTAGAATAAATATGTAGGGACTTTAAAAATTCATGGAGAGTGAAATAAAAAGATAATGGAATTTTCCCAATTGGGTCATTCCTTTCTTTCAACGTGCTACTTTCTAACTTCTTATATGGGCCATCATTAATAATACTTAGGTGGAAATAATTTTGAGGATTTTTGACACATGTTGAAGCAAAATAATTAAACCTACTTTGAAGCATAAAATACGAGGTAGTTGATAATACACCAAATAATCTACTGTAGATAACCATATTAGAGGGAGCCTTGGGTCAGCAATTCAAACCCACCCATGGCTCCACATGAGAAAGCTGAGGCTACTGTGGTATCTTAATTAATAGTCTCTGAGTTTCAATCTCTCTGGGTCCTATATCAATTGCATTAGGTACACAGAATTCACAGACAAAATTCATGATTAAAGGGTTTACTAAGGAAGTTTACAAGTTGTAATGCCAGTGAGAAATGGTCAGGGTTGAGTTGTTTATCAGGACACATTACAAAGTTCTTTCTGCTCTGCTAATAAATGCCCAAGGGGCCATACACTCTCTGTACGCCTCAGTTCCACATCCATGGGTCAGCAAGCCCAGCTTCCTTATTAAGTGCCCGGAAGTACCCCACTCTGCAAGCAAGCCGCCAGTACAAAAGCACTCAGCTTCGCTCGCTGCCTGCGTCGGGAAGTCCATCCCTTTGATCCATGCTCTGAAGCCAAGTGCTGCCACAGCTCCTCTGATGTTGTAGCTGACACCGACCCTGGAGGTTCACTGCGCAGGGATCTCAGGTCCGGAGGATACACTCCACTCGTGGCTCTTGCTGGTAATTAGATCCTGCTCCCTGCTTCTCAGAGGGCTCATTGTATATACAGCATGGTGGCACTCCAGGGAATCCTATTCACAATTACTCATAGGTGAATCCTATCAGTAATTTCCCCACCTTCTTCCCCAGACCCATGCAGGGAAAGATTGTTGGGTGGGAGTTAGAGACTTGGGCTAGAAGAGTCACAGTAAATAATTCACTGTCCCTGCAGCCATCTCCTCCTGTAAAGATTTAACAACTCAGAAACCCTATACAGGGTCGCTATGAGTTGAAATCAACTTGATGGTAGTCAGTCAAAATATTAATAAAAGATTACAGGTCTTTCTACATCAATATTCAAAATAATTCAAAATAATTTTAGAGGACTAATAGTTTGTGACCACTTATATTCAGTTTAATTTTAAATAATAACTGGAATATTCAGTGCATCTATCCTCTGTTAAGCAAGTAAATTTATTCAAATCTCTAAATCCATTTTCACTCAATACATAAATCTATTATATCTTGGGTGACCTTTCTCAACCGCGCAAGGTAATACTTTTTCAATATATTAAACGTTGTTTAGCTTTTAGCTGTGAAATTTCATATGTGATTCCTCTCCTAATTGTGAAAACAGACATCCCTTAAACAGGGTGTTCCAAATTACTTGTTCCATGTTACCAAAAACCACTGCCACCCAATCAATGCCATCTGACAGCAACTTTACTGGACAGAGTAAAACTGCCTTTGTGAGTTTCCAAGACTGTAGAAAGTCCCGTCTTTCACCTGAGGAGGGCTGGCAGTCAAACTGCTGACCTTGGGGATAACAACTATGCCACTAGGGCTCCTTGATGCCAAGTTAGCCAGGCCCAGAGCTCCTCATATATTTAGGATCAACCAAAAGGGTGCTGTTTATACAGCCTGGAGAAGGCAGTTTCTGAATTGTATTCATATGAGAAATTATGTTTTCTATCACTCAGTTTCTTGTATGTGGATAACTGAACCATTGTGTTAATTTATTCTGTTGCTTAATTTATTCTGCTTTAGAGGGTAATGGGTTACTCTTTTCACAAACTCTTTCTGGCCATGGTCTCTTAATTACCACAAAAGATAATGCAAACAGATATCTAAAACTCTTGCCAGGGATTAGACAGTAAACATTGCTGGCCTAGTGGTTACACATTGGGCTGCTAACTGAAAGGTCTGCAGTTCAAAACCACCAGCCCAATCCAAGGGGAAAAAAACGAGGCTTTCTACTCTCCTAAAAAGTTACAAGCTTAGAGACCACAGAGGCAGCTCTATCCTGTCCTATAAGGTCTCTATGAGTCAGAATTCACTTGCTGGCAGTGAGGAGGGAGGAGTAAGCATATAAAGTGCCTGTAATTCATCAAGGGATTGGTCAATTTTGTAAGCCCACGAGGCTTAAAGAGAGTCCCACAAATTGAAGGAGCACTTCACTACCATCAAGAAAAATAACCTTTGATCCCAGAGTTCCTACATGGATTATCTCTTAGAGAGTGAGAAGTGGAGCTCTAAAGACAGCAAGATGGCAGACCAGAGCTGGCTGCAGTGACTTCTCTGAGTCAGAGAGCAGGGTGCCTCAGGCCAAAGGCTTCCTGATGGAATGGGGGCTTCCTATCAGTGCTGTAAAATGTGCCCCAGTAGGACAAAGGCCAGGCCTGAACAGAGTCTGGCAGCAGGTGAAGTCTTTTTAGAATTTTTTTCTTAATTACTTCTATTTTTTTTACTTTTTATTGTGATTTCTTTGGTGAAGTTTAGAGAGTAAATTGTCAATTTTACATTCAACAATTTATACACATTTTGTTTCAACTCACTCATATCCTATTTTTTTCAATGTTTCTGGTTTCTATTCCTTCTTTTTCCCCCAACCCTCTGTTCTTGGGTAAATGCTGCCCATTTGATCTTAAATGGCTGATTATTTTACCACAAATGTGAATTCGATTCCAGAAGTGAAGGATGACTGATAGTCATGCTCTAGCTTGTCCTACCTGTCTCTCGCAGATCAATAAGCCTGATCTTTTATCATGTTGAGCTTTCGTGCACATTTCCCTCCCATTAGATCTTCTAAGGTTGTCCTTTTCTGAGCTATTGGTCATGGCAACTGGGCAACAGCGAGTTCTTCTGGTCTCAGAGTTGGTGGAGACTAATGTTTGCAGGGTCCATGAGTCCACTGGGTTAATGTTTCCATATGGCTGTCAATTGTCATCACCATTCTTGCCTCTGGATGTGGAGAGCCCAGTCGTGGCACTTTAGATGCCTGCTCACAAGCTTTAAAGACCCCAGTCAAAACTATGGCCCTGATCCCCCTGGCACAATGACACATCTGTCAACTTGTTTGGTTTTGTCTAAGAAGTTTTTATACCTTTTCCCCTTTTAGTTGCCCTACATTCATGGATATATTTTAAGCAAAGGTAAATGCTCATCCACAAATATTCTGTCAAATATATATATATATTCCTAAGC